ATCGACATCGCTCAAGTGCGAGTAGCCGTCACGCGTAGCGTGAAAGCTTTGGTCATCTTCATCATCCAACATATTCATGTTAGATGTGAACGTGGTCCTTGGACGGACTACGAAGTGCTACCAGGTGTAACGGGGCACCCTGAAGCTTGTGCTGGTGACAGTACAAGCTACTTATTCTGATGACAGAATAGGGCGGTGCCTTGGAACTTCACGTACACTCGTACGTGCAGAGGAAGACGGTAAGAAGAAGCGAGTACTTGGTTAGAGTAAAAAGTAGAACTGTATTTATAGTTAATGTCTGCAATAAATCACTACTTATCTTCATCTAACTATGTCTAAATACAAATGTGTAAATCAGTTATCTGCTCACCACTCATTGCGTGCGTCTGTCGTGGCGCGTCTCGACACGAGGAACTACTCGTAAGTGCTACAGAATATTTGTCCTTATGACAATATTCTGAGAATATAACTCTTATAGTTAAATTCTATAACAATTTCTTATTAATTGTTATGTAACTATTCACCCCGTTACATCATCCAGCACAACGCAAATTAGATCGGGATTTTAATCAAGGATGAGACGGAATTTTTCTTATAAGAGCAGGTAAAAGAAGATAATCGTGATCAACAAATTGGAAAACTTGATAATTTATTTTGCTAAGTGCAACTTTTATCTCGAGATAGTCCCGGGCGCTACAGCGGCGGGTGTTGTCTGTCCACCACTAACGCATTTATACAGGTAAGCGTGTCACCCGCGACGTAGTGGACGTGTGCAACGTCCTGAGCGCTGCTGTCACTTTTGTTTTTCGAAGGTTCATGGATTAAACGGTATTTATCAGATGGCTCCGCCACTTTTCGGACGCCTTGTCCATTACTGTACAGCATCCCCTATCCATCGAATACGACGGAAGAAGCAGTCACGACAACGGCGAGATTGTGCCCGAGGCGGTGCGGCTCAAGCTCATCTTTGTGCTCCTTCCAGAGACGCAAATCACCTTCTTCAGTATCTAGACGTGGCTTTGTTCAAGCCTTAGAATGCCAGCATCGACGCCGCTCTGCAGGAGTACAATCTGAATGGGGGCGAACGCTTCATCACGCGCAAAACAACCATTTGCTTGGTGAGCACCGCTTGTAGCAAGGTTATCATAGACAAGCCTTTTAATGCAATCGCTGGATTTAGAGCGTGAGGACTGTCGAAAGTGTCACAGTCGCAACAGCCAGCAGCGTCGGCTTAAGCTGCTTCCAGATGGAGAGTGCGTCAAGGGGTCGAGCGTTTGTTCTAAATTAAGGCCAGAGAGGTCAAGCTAATCGAGATTCTGATCCTATCTGCGTCGTTCTTATTTACTCGCAAGCAGCGCGATACACTTGACGTAAATCGTCTACTCTCTATGCGCGATGATTTGCAAAACATTGACGTGTAGTAACCATCCCAATTATATACTACACATTTAAACGGCACTATTCTGCAACAATTTGGGTAAAGCTAATTTCGTGTTATATGTGCTTAGCGCACTGTCGTCTTTGGTGTTATCGCGCGTTTAGCTTCTTAAATACTGCAATAGAACCTTCTTGATCTCTTGTTTTTGTTGATGTTTTTTATCTTCGCGCTAACGTCAAGACAATTTATAAATTTTCCTTAGAGTCTCAGCTTTCGGCAAAAATCCATTCCGTCACGTTACTGGTGATGAGACTTGCTCGGCATATGAGCCACACGGTGATGTGTGATAATCCGAGTAGTTTCGCTGCTTTTTGGCGCTAAAAATGGGTGCCTAGCTGTGCTAATACTCAGCGTGCGATAACTTCAACGGCCTACTCTACGACGAAGCCTGCTCTGCCCACATATGCCGTGCATGATAATGTTATCGCAACCACATACTTTTCGACTTACACCCGGGAGACTCGTGAGAGTACTGGTAGGCGATGTAGAATGACGTTGACAGAGAACTCGCAGGCCACATAGTTCGCGAATAGACGTCGTCAATAATCGTGCGCAATCGTCCAGCAAGAATCGGTGACGTGCATGTTTGAGCAGGAAATGAAGCACTTGGAATGTAGTTGTGGTCGTGTGGCATGACAAATCATGGTTCGGAGCTCGTCTACCGACTTGCAGCCTACAATTTGCTCGACTACTTTATAAAGCCTCATTACATTTTACACAACCGAAAATGATGGTATTTTTCGGAAGGAAAGTTTCCGTCATCCTGTCGGGCGCTCCCATAGTAAGTATAAGTGTAAGTACCAATGTAGTTTCTTGGAAGTGCACAAACGAAGGAAGATCCTCATTGGAATAAGAATAATCGCCTGCTCGCAGATTTGGGAAAACAATGCAAACAATGACGGAATGTGACGCGTCAAGCAATAGAAGAGTACATGCCAATCGAATGGCGTATACGCGATGTCCTCACCGGGAATAGTCCAGCTCTCATCCGTCTTTGGCGCATGCTTATAATGTTCACATATACACCCTTGCTTGCCTTCTGTACAGCACAACCAAATGGTCAAACAGGAGGAAGTAGCCATTAGTGTAGCAATCCAGCCGTTATGAGAAATCATTTTTTGTTAATTCGTATGGAAAATACACGATTACGAAGCGGTGGTCCCGTCCATTTCAGCGCTCCCCTTGATTGGTGTTGCAATGAGTTCATAAGCCAACATCAAGCTGGCCGTTTGCGGAGCATATGCATGTAGATCCATGCAAACTAGTTAAGCACACTCCACGAGCTTAAGACCCAGCGACACGCCATCGTTTTGAGAATTGCCGTCTCCACTCGCTTAATCAGCATGTGTTTAAGTTTACAACAAACTTGTATTACATCTTCGGTAAATAAGCCGCACGGAACCTATACCGGTCAGATTTCTTGAGACTGATAACGTTGTGCGCACGAGGGCAGTTGCGGGAACGCCGTGCGCATATTCCGTATATCCTCGGCACTCGCGATGTTGCCAACCTCGTACCCGCCAATCTTCTGTGCATCTTTGGATACAAACATCGATCAGTTTATTCACCGACTGACGGTCGTATCTACTCAGCTGCCATCTAACGGACATGTTGCTGCGCCACGACAGGCCATGTCTGTGATCTAGTCTTGTAACTCTCAGGCGAATTCCATACGGGCAACCTCAAGGTTAACAAGAGAAAATGCCTCTGGACATTAGGTTCGCTACGCATCTATTGCCAAGCTTCACTTCTACGATTTGATGTGCTTCTGTTTGCGTGCTGTGTTGTAAGGACTCGAGCTTCATTTTCGTATCTCAGTTGTAGTTGTGGTTGCTCTGCTTCATCTTTGTATCTCAGTTTTCACATGTGGTTGTGATTGCTCTGCTATCCATCGAAACAATTCATCGTCTCGATCTTCTTACTGCTCCAAGCAAAGCGCACATCATCTACTCACTCGGGCAAAAATGCGTGCTAACGGGTTTTTAGTTATGTAAGGCTGGATCTGATCGTCTCAAACTCAAGTGTCGTAACGGTGCATGTATAAGTGCCTTGCTTCCTGCAGCAAGTAACACTCCGAAGCGCCTGTTAAAGGTGAACTATCAGCAAACACTACACGTTCTGGCTTGCTGTCGAAAGGAGTCAGCTTGAATGTCGTGCGTATAATCCGCAATGCTAAGTCATTAACAAAAAGAGTCACGGAGTATGAGCAAGGCGTGGACTGGACGCACGTGTTGACACTAGTGCGTTGTACGTTTTGAGCAGCTACTAGATGTTTTATCATGTACACGAAAGTTCACTCACGAAGCTAAACGTATAGTCACAATGAGACTGGCGTGCCCGCAAGGGTTATGGATATGAGTGCTCCAACCAGGTTTGCTTATAATGCTCTCCGTCGCATTGGTAATGCATAAATTCCGTTACGACTCCTATGATTGCAAACGGTTCTACAACTCGAAGAAACACAAAGTCATCACTGATAGACTCCTGAAGTTGCAACTTTTGACGGTGTTATTTGGTGGTATTGACCTAGACGACGAGCAAGTTGCAGCGAAACATGTTTGCATACAGGAGCGATGCCAAATGGCACTTGTTGAAAAGAACTGGTGATTGGATATATGAGCTATTCCAGGGCCATCAGTTGCACGTCGCGACAGACGTCGGACCTTTTTCGGATAGGGTCGACGCAAATTCAGGTCGGTTTACAGCTCTATGGTATCGTCGTATTGATACACCAGGCTATCGCAATGCAGCTCCTGCAAGAAGAGCCGGATGCTGTCCAAACGTTCTGAAGCCCCTTCCTGATCTAATTGATTTGCAAGCGCGCCAAAACGTCTCTGTACAATAGAAGGTACTCGTTGAGCATTGGCGTGGGCCTGCAGCTTACATGTCCCACTTGAGATTTGGCGTTGTGGAAAGCAAGTCGTCGAATAGCTACCAGACTCCACCTTCTTGTAAGTCTCGGTCGGGTCTCACGCTTGAGTCGTGATCACGGTTGTAGTAGCTCGCTGCAGGATTGATGCAACTTTGTTCGGGCACTTTGTAGTTGCTCGCGTTTGGTCTTTGCAGCTTTTGGAAGGTCCGTGCACCTACTTTTCCGCGCCAATGACAATTGCATTTCGAGGTCTGGTTGCACGCAAATTTGACAGCTGATTGTTTTCGGTCGGTCTCACGATGTCTGGGCTGCTGCTAGAGCGACAATCCGTGTGTTGTCGTCACGACGCCAGTCGGATCCTTCTTTTCTGCCGAAACTGACGCACCGCACTTGATGGAAACAAAGAGTTCTTCTTTCAGTCCTCGGAACTCTTTTTGTATAAATCAATTTTGTCCGCTTCTGACGACCCTTCCTTGCGACAGCTCCCGTCACCAACACCCGACCGAGTAAAGGGACAGTCATCATAAACTTCCATTCACTCCTGTCAATTTTCTTGATTCGATAGTTTACTCCTGAATACGCTCCAAATCGAGTTACCCATCGGCTTAAATATATCAACGCACTCGACGGCAGCTTTACTAAAGGTAGCACGTCCGCCGGGACGTGTGCATTCGCCACCCCTCATCGACACTACAAAAAAGAAGATGAGCTGAATGCGTCTAGATCCTCGCTCAGCGTAGCGTCGTGCAGCTCAACATCGTCGTCACGGACCAGCTTCTCATGTTCCATCGCGAGCTGGGCAAGACGCACGCGCTCCGCATCACGAACACGCTCCTCTCGAAGGCGTTTTTCTTCAGCAAACTTTGCCAGCTGCTCCATCTCTTGTTTCCGCCGCTCAGCCTGCTCACGCTCCTTCTCTTTATCGCGCTGCTCACTCTCGCGGCGTTTCAAAGCTTCCAGCTCATCCGTGCGCTCCTTCTCTTTTTGCTGGATTTTCTGCTGCTTGATCTGTTCCATCGAGCGCGCCGATAGCCACAAAGAACTCGACTGGCTACCGCCATTTGAGTGACACAGCGGCGTACCGTTCGGAGTTTCTTTTTTGGCCAGCATACTCCAAGCACCCCGGTTTTCCACACGAAGGGGCTCTGAGCTCGCTAGCTGCTCATCACGAATCTTCTTAGCAGCATCCACTGTAAAAAACACCACAGGAGAGTGTTAGAAAAGACAACACGTTGCATGTACGATTCTGGTGACCGAGGACTAACCAGCATAAACCGAAGCGGAAGGGTCGAGCTGTGACAAACTCGGGGCACTCGCAAGTGGCGGAGACTGCGGCATGGCATGAAAGAGCGTTAATCATACAGAGATCGTAACCACCAGTACTTCTGACTCACTCGTTCAACTACATCTCACAAACCCACCCTTTCAAGAGGAGCGCCGCCATCGTCCGAGTCCGATTCACTATCACTATCACTGTCCGAGTCCGATGACTCAGAAGAGCTGGACGAACTGCCCGAAGAGCTGTCGCCGCCCTTTTTCGCACCATCTGTGTCAGCTTGTACGTCCTTCGTGACATCCTGGTCTGAACGTTGGTCGCCAGCATTCCCAGGCGTCGATTGCCCCACACTTGCACCACCGCCATCAATCGCAGCCAATTGACTCCGAAGTTCCTCCTGGCGGTGTTGGATGTTCAGTGCCGCCACCTCAGCAGACTTGAGTCGCTTCTCGGCGGGTGCCAGCTTGGCCTTTTTAGCAGGACGCTTCCGCTTCCGACCAATCCCATTTTCCTACAAGAAAAGGAATAGGAAAACCTTAGCACTGGAGCGGTCATAAAGCTTGGAGCGATGCGACTCCTTACCCTAACATATCCCTCCAGCATTCGCAAGCACCGAGTGTCAAACGCATTGATGTCTAACTCTACTTCATCATTCTCGTTAGCCAGCTTCGCTACCGGAACAGCCTCTGCAATGATCTGAAGAACACGATTGATCTTGTCCTGTGGAAGCAATTTGATATCGGAACTCAAGCGCGCCTTATCCAAATGACTCATCGGCTCATTCAGCTCCTCCTCTGTCAAGTCTTCCATCTTAAAAGGTCTGGATAAACAGGAAACCGCAGCAAGCAAGTTGTTAACACCCGCTCATACTGCAACATTTGACTAGGGCAGCAAACAAACCTTGTGACGGTCTTAGAGAGCTTGCAGGAACCCCCCTTCGCCATTCCAGGTTGCAGCTGCTCTAGCGTCGCCTTCAAGCGTTCAATATCTTCCTTGAGCGACATTATCAACCCGGTATCATGACCACGTCGTTTGGTGTTACCCTTTGTGCCTTTGCCGCCTCGTATCTTTTTCGACGAGAAAGCCGCATCCACCTTTCGATCCTTCTTCAACTTCAAGTCCGGATATTTACTCTTAGTGGACAGTTTCACATTGAGACCCTTGTACCGCTTTTCAAAGTCATCCATTAGCTTGGTTGCATATATGTGTACTTGGCTGTGTGCTGCATTATACAGCATTGCATTCTGGAATACCAGTCTCACGTGGTCTGCGAATTCAGTTGGACTATCGTAAAACCCCATCTCCAGGTTGTTCCGAATAGTGCCGAGATCCATGGGGTCTTTGATTACGTGAAAATAATCGGGAATGCCCAAAGCGACTGGATCAACGGGAACCATAAAAGGCGCCGACTTGGGATTCGACATCAGACCCTTTAGAACACTGAAGCACTTCTTCATGCTCATCGGCGCATGGTCGAACTCAAGAATGTTGTCTTCGCGGAGATGCGCAGGAATCGACCGTTTACGTTCCGAGCGGCCTAGTATCAACGACGGAGACGCATACTCTAACCTTGGGGTGCTAACCTTGCGTGGGGCGATGAGAGCCGGAGTTGCTGAAGGAATCGCGCTTTTGGTGACATCCACAGATGGCACAATGGCAGCGACGCCTGGCGCCGAGATCGACAAAGCTTTCGCTTCGCGCTTGGCCGGTATCGATGCTCGCACTGCTCGTGCACGTCGCGGAAGTGCTCGCTTGACAGGATCCTTTGGCTTGTAAACTTTGTAAAGCCTGAGCTCATTCGTCTCCTTTGCCAAGCGCCCATGCAGCGTGAACTGACCAAAGCGATTCTCCCCCGAGCCAAAAACGACAAACTGCGACGGATTGCCAATGTCGTGCACGAAGCGAATCTCCACGTCATGCTCAGTCACAGTCTGCGGTTTTCCCTTCATCGCTTGAATCTGAAACGAGCCGCTATACTTTCCATCAAAAGGCATTGCCGATCGCACCTCGGCATCCGTCTCGTAGCCCCAATACACCGGCGACACCTCACACGCAGCTGCATTTGATGTCCGAGACGACCGCGCAAGTGCCAAAGTCGCCATTGCTGGGTGTACGACGTCGGCGGTACCTGAACAAACGGGAATGGCAACATCTTCCTGCGACCTCATTTCAAAGATGCTCGTGATTCCACTCGGCCCAAACGCGGCTTCATTCATGCCCCATATTCCTGACCAGACCGCGTGCTTGTCTCGAATGTAGTACTTGCCAACAAGCAGTGGCGCGTACTGCAACACCTCGCGCGGAAGCTCCAGTGCGGACTCCTTCGTCTGGCTCGAGTCACCTAGAAGCTCCGTCTTGACCGGCTCCGTCTTGACTGTAGCTACCGCTGCTGTTGCTGTGTTCGGCATGTCGATTTGACCTTCGGCTGCAACAGGAAGAAGAGGCTCGACCGCCCTGCCCTGAAGCTCCTGCTTGACCGTAGCCAGCACGGGCTTCTGCGCCTGCTCCTCGACCATCATCACGCACACTTGGATGCTCGCAAGGTCTTTCTGCGGGCCGCAATCGAGAGGCCCTCGGGGCGTGCCCGAGGTCCACGGCGTGGTGCTGTCGCTTGGACTTACCACTTCAATTCTCGAGGTCTGGAACACTGCGTCCTTCTTGTTGCTGTCTACTGCGGTCTGCACGCGCTGCACCACCTCTTGTCGAGGACCTACCAGCGTTAAGTCGCCTATGGTGGCTGCTTACGGGAGCAAAAGTCAGGCAAGCGACGGGCGAGTAGTGGGCAACCACGACGTGACGAGACCGGAGAATTTGGGTCTGTGTACTTCGCTCCCTTTTGAGAAATGACCCACTCCAACGCTCAATTGGTCAGACCGAGTGCGGCGACGAGTGATGGTCACTCGAACAGAGGGCGGGCGTCTATTTGGGGGGCTGCCTGCCACCGCTTGTTTGCTTTCGAAAATGACAGACTTTCGTTTCTGCGAAAATGAACCGAGAGAACACGAGGGTTCGAAAAAACCTCGACGACCGGTTGTTGGACTTGGTTCGAGTATGCGCTGTAAATAACCTTGAGTACCGTGGTATCATATTTAGCAGGGATTGGCGCCTATTCCCGCCAAAGCCGATTACCAACACCCGCTTTCGTCGCTTTCAAGATGCCTCGAGACCGCTCAAAGATCCCAGACACGCCTGGCTTTTACTGCAAATGAGCGCCATATCGTGACGCCTTCAGCCACAGGGAAGGCCAGCTGTGACACATTGCACCACACCACCATTTGCTCTCGCTGTCGAAGCCGCTCGTCACGCGGTTCTAAAAAATCGGCTAAGGTTGCCATTAATCGATCGTCGAGCCCGAGATGAAATACTTAGAGACGTTTCTGTCGTAGCACTTGAATCTGCTCCTCAGTAGTTTGACTGGAAAAGCCAAATTTGCCTCAGTACCAGTATTTTTCATCCAGAAAGTTCACTCATTTTTCCGCACATTGTGCGACGGGTCAACCCGTTTAATTCACGCACGCTTACCCGTTTGACGCGGCTGCCACTCATTTCGCGTACCCAGATGAAGGAGGCGCCGATAGAGGGAGATGTCGGAGGGTAGCGGTGATACTCGTGGTTGATAAACAGGTGGGGCGGAAGCTTCACACATCACAGGTCGGAGTTAATACGGTAAGATAGGAAGCTGGATCATCGGTGCGTGGGACGGACGAGGCGCAGAAGCAGGGTGTTATTAGCTGCACGTCTAAAACCCGCCAGTCATATGGTGCCACGTCAAGGGTTCTTTCTGGCCACGCGTAGGTTGTGGCACAGCGCTTTATTAGGGTCGGAGTTACTTTTTGTAGCCATAAAGTGTACCCATAGTCGAGTCCAACGAAGAAACGATGTACCAGCAGCTCAGAAGTCTTAGCGTCAGTTGGTGCACCGCATAAAATATCGGGGATTGCTAAAACAGTGTTCGACCAGGTCATAGGTTTCGATATCTTCGATCGGATCATGTAAACAAGTCCGATCCCAAGTCAACACTATGCGACTTCTACGTGCAACTACTTGCTCTTCATCCGTTCTGCGAGCACCCGAACTCGGGTGAATGTGCGCAATACTGTCACTGGACAGCAGCACTTAGAGCGCGTTTCGGACGAGATCTTGCACCATATTTTTGTGATGCGACTCATTCGTGCCTCCACCAATCTCCAGCAGCTTGGAATCACGCCACAGGCGCTCGACGTTGTACTCGCCTACGTAGCCGTAGCCACCCAGTGTTTGAATGGCACGATCAGCCACACGCTTTGCCATGTCGCCACAGTAAAGCTTCACACCATCCGTGTCTACGCGGTTGCCTCCCGAGTCCAACTTCAGGTTCCTATAGTCATCCACCATTCATAAACAGATGCGTCAAAGGGTCCTTCGTGCTTGCTGCCATACCACAAACTTTACTGTCAGAGATAATGCGCTGAGTTTGAAGCACTCACCGTGCTGTGCTGTACACGTACGCGCGGCCAGCCATGTACTCTGCATACGACGTGGCAATGTTTTGTTGGATCTGGCCAAAAGTGTTCAGCGGTCGGCCAAAGGCTTCGCGCTCCTTTGCATAGCCATTCATGACCTCGAGCGAGCGTCTAGCGATGCCTAAACTCATGGCAGCTAGCGTCACGCGCTCGATCTCGAGGTTTCGCATCATGCACAGAACAGCGCTACCTTCCGTGCCAATCAAGTTCTCGACCGGTACCTTGCAATTTTCAAACACCAGCTCGGCTGTGTTGGACGCGCGCATACCGCACTTATCTTTAATACGCTGACCAAGAGAAAAGCCTTCAAAGCCCTTCTCTATGATAAACGACGAGAAGTCCTGCTTTGCCTTCTTTGTATTGCCAGTGCGAGCGTACACCAAGAACGTGTCGCCCAGTTCCGTGTCATTGAGTGCCCCGTTCGTAATCCACATCCTGAAAATAACGACACCAAACGCTATCATCAATCCGCGTAGAACCCGGAAAAAGAGTGGACGTCCATGATAGCAGTAGATGTCGTAGAAGCATTAGCACGTACTTTGTTCCGTTCAAGACGTAGAACTTGCCACACTCTGACTTCTTTGCTGTCGTACGCATACCCAGCACGTCTGTACCAACGGAAGGCTCACTCATGGCCATGCCACATACTTTGGTGCCAGAACAGGCATCAGGTAGGTACTTTTTACACTGTGCGTCCGACGCGTTGCGAGCCACGTTGTTCACGAACAGCATCGAGTGCGCCAAGAAGGACAAGCAGAAGGCCGGGTCACTCGAAGAGAGCTCCTCGTGCGCAATAACAGCTGCAAGTGCGTCCATCCCAGATCCTCCGTATCTGCCAGTATCCAAAGACACAATCGTTGTAAGCTCATCGTGTATATAGAAGAAGGAGAAGGTCAACAACATGAGCTCCGCACGGACTTTTCAGGTGCCGTGATGCCCAGGAGTCCTAGGTCCCCGAGCTCCCGGAACAACTTGATATTGAATTTCTCATCACGGTCGTGCTCCAGTGCTTGAGGATCCACTTTAGTCTTTACAAAACCCGCCAGCATCTCCCGCAGAGCCTTATGCTCGTCGCTCGGCGTGAACAAGTCCAGCTCGGAGGGTCTCAACAGCGACTAGGGAAACATCAGAGCTCATTACAACTCTGACACGTGCATCTTTATCTACAACGACGTCAAGATCAAAATAGCAAAGAGCAAACCATAGAGCGAAAGGGGTAGCACGGGGTCTTCGTACGAGCCTGACGGGCAGCAAACAGGGACTGGCGGAGCATCGCAAGCGAGAAGATTGGCGACTGCCGCTCTTCACTTCAAGTGTCTGACGTTGTGTGGTCCACGTCCTATCAGGTTGAAGCAGGGAAAATTTCAGCACAGCATCTGCTTGACGGGGCGTCATGTGTTGTGGTTAGGCTACCGTTTTAATAGAATTACAATTGTAGAGAGGCTCAGACCGTCTGTCTATTAGCGAAAAGCTCAGACTGTCGATTCGCGAGAGGCTGGACGCACCACTGGACAAAGAGTATCTGTCTTGGTGCTTGGGGAGGTCCTCTTCGTGGGACCGGGCTCGTGCTCAGCGAACGGGTCGGCGAGTTGTAGGCAGACCTTGTAGGGTAGGATCTTCTTCGTTTTGCAGGGTGATTCGATCCATCGTCGACGTGCGCTGCACTAGGATATTGTGCAGACCGCTTCTCTCTCGAGTCGACGCTGCGCTGCCTCCTGTAGCGCACGCAGCGAGGAGAACCCTCCCCACTTTTTATCTTGGCCCCACAATGAGGTATGAGCGATTTCCTGGAAGTATTTTGGAAAAGGGAAGCTCACGTTATCGTCGTACGTCGTGGACTGAAACGAAGAGACTTGAAATGACCCGCGGCTCCGAGGGTTGTGTGACCTGTCACTCGATTGATTAATGGAGATCGATGGGTTCGACAGGATTCAAGACGGTCAATTTGTTTCTTTCGTGGAAACGTTCCTCCTCGTACTACAAGCACGTTGATTGCATGTTATGAAAGCCTAACCACAAATATCACTTCGGACTTTGCCACACACACACACACACACACACAAACAACTTGTTCCTCCTCTCTTTTCACTAGCAACACCCTGTGCTTCGCCACGATTGCTACCTACAGAGCGCTAAAACTGTTATGAAAGACCTTCCGTCCAAGGAAAGAGGCCAGTTCTCTCGCTCACCGGAAGGTGTCGCCTCCGTCCGTTGTTGCAGTTGGTGTAACGGGGTGAATCGTTACATAACAATTTATAAGAAATTGTTAATAGAATATAACTATAAGAGTTATATTCTCAGAATATTGTCATAAGGACAAATATTCTGTAGCACTTACGAGTAGTTCCTAATTGGTTGATATAGGCCATTATATCAACCAACGAAGACGCGCCACGACAGACGCACGCAATGAGTGGTGAGCAGATAATCAATTTACACATTTGTATTTAGACATAGTTAGATGAAGATAAATAGTGATTTATTGCAGACATTAACTATTATAAATACAGTTCTACTTTTTACTTTAACCAAGTACTCGCTTCTTCTTACCGTCTTCCTCTGCACGTACGAGTGTACGTGAAGTTACGAGGCACCGCCTTATTCTGTCATCAGAATAAGTAGCTTGTACTGTCACCAGTACAAGCTTCAGGGTGCCCCGTTACACCTGGTAGCACTTCGTAGTCCGTCCAAGGACTCGTTCACATCCAACATGAATATGTTGGATGATGAAGATGACCAAAGCTTTCACGCTACGCGTGACGGCTACTCCCATTTGAGCGATGTCGAATGGGATGCGGTTGAACGAATGGGTTCGACCATGGGCATACATGCCGTTAGCGTCATGCTAGAGGCTCTCAATAGAGATGCCCAACATGCTACTATCGCCAAGTTCATTCAAAATGAACTTGACGCTGAACGCGAGAAAGTAGCCTTGCTTCACCTACAAGGTTCTCAACAAGCAGAGTTGTTGAGAGAACAGGGTGCTCAACAGTTTGAACTGTTGAGACAGCAGCAGGCTGCTGCTGGTGGGTCGATGCACTCGCGTCGACCCGAGACTTTGAAGATTGACATCTCCAAGTATAGGGGGGTCGAAGAAGACCCCCTCTTGAGATGGTTCGTCGAATTGGATGACGCCATAAGGGCGCGTCGCATCGACGACGGGGATATGCAAGTTGCATTTGCACAATCAAATCTGGCAGGACGTGCCAAGACTTGGGCACTGGGGCTCAAGTTGCACGACCCATATGCGTTTGGGTCGTTGGAAGTCTTCAAGTCGCGGCTCAGACAAACGTTTGAACCGCCTAGAGCTGAGTTCAGAGCTCGAACCGAACTCTTGAAGCTCAAGCAGGGTAAGCGTGATGTTCACGCTTACGCTCAACATATACGACATCTCACGAGTTGTATAAGTTCCAATCCGGTGGATGAACACACGTTGGTTTCGGTGTTCATGCAGGGTCTTGCGGATGGTCCCGTCAAGACTCACCTGTTCCGGCTTGAACTAGATTCACTAGAACAAGCCATTTCCATTGCGGAGCAGGAAGACTTCAGTCTGAGACAGGCTCGCGCCAGCTCGACATCATATCGCCAACCGAGACGATATGACAACGGAGGTCCAGAGCCGATGGAACTCTGTTATGTAGAGAGCGAGAAGGCTCGCTCTACAGACTACAAGAAGTTGCATAAATGCAACAGATGTCAAAAGACAGGACACTACGCTTACGAGTGTAGTGCCCCTCGTCCAGTGTCTCGCAACACTGGGCGTAATGACCGTCGACCCATGAGAAAGGGGCAGGGACGAGGGTCCGCTGTTGGTGCAAAGACGCAACAACGGGATGGACCGTCAAAAAACGGACAGGATCAGTAGGTGCGGAGCACCCTACTGGTCTAGCAACGTCAAGAGAATTTGTAGGCCTCTTGATGAAGGTTGCTCCCAACACACAAACGTTGTGCGTTGCTGCTCTAGGTAATGAGGTCTCACTCATTACCTTGAAACTCGAAGTGACGAACAAGTTGTCCCTTCGAGCTCTAGTCGATTGTGGGGCGTCCAACAATTTTGTGCGACGCCAATCGCTAGAAGATGGTCACTTTAAATTCAGTGAATGTGACACACCTCCTACGAGGATGACGGTACGTCTTGCGACAGGCGCATCCGTAACCGTCATGAAGCGTATAGTGAAGATCCACTATACGCTAGAAGATACCCAATATGACGATGACTTTATCGTATTCGATTTGGATGACAAATTTGATGTCATCCTTGGAATACCGTGGCTCAGAAGGTACGAACCACGAGTAAACTGGCAACATCGGACAGTAACGATGCCTGCCGCTTGTTCATCAGATGGCCATCTGATGAACGTTTTGGAGCGTCCACAAGCGTGTGGATGTACTACGAGTGAGTGCGATGGCCTCACTTGTGGTACGGTCGTTAGTACGACTGCACGAAACCTTAGTGTAACAAACGGTTACACTTCGTAGCAAAGTTCCGGCGGCTGTGAGGAAACACAGGCTGCGCCGAAGGTCCACCACTCGAATAAGTCGAGTGGACCGGGACAAAGATGTATCCCTAGCGAGGAACATCTAGAAGAGAAACAATCGATCGATCAGGTTAAGCGAAACGATAATCCTAGATCGACTGGAGAGTCTTTCGTAGAGGATCTCGCTGTGGTTGCGCAACCCCAGCTAGAAGAAGTTAAGGAATAAGTCCCGATATAATAGACACGGTGGAAATAAGTTCCCCGAAACCCGAGGGAATAAGTCCCCGGGAAGCCGAAGGAATAAGTCCTTCGAAGCCTGTGGGAATAAGTCCCCAGGAAATGACAGAGACATTGAATGTCCTAGTCAATGATGGATCAAGTGTAGGCGCTTATAGACTTGATCTGATTGCGCCTCCGAAGTTAACTTCGGAGATCACTCAGTTGCCAACGCTCGAACATTAAAGGTTCTTGCGTGATCTGCGTAGTGGCAAAGTCAAGCAGATCTGCGTACTCGTCGCTGACGACGAGTGCGTAGCCGACATAAGGTCAGCAACAGTGTTCACTGAGAACGAGAGAGTTCTCAGTAGTTCATCTATGGACGAGAGTGTCCTAGATGAAAAGACACGAATTGAGCGATATGGCTCCCAATCATGGGAATCGCTCAAGACAAATCCTCTCTATGAAGATTTGGTTGAATTCAAGGATGTATTCCCTGAAACTGTTCCGTGCGAATTACCGAAGGATAAAGGTATTCGACACGAGGTCGAGCTTAAACCAGGCTCGAAGTACTGTGTCATGAAGCAGTGGCCACTGCCTCGTGAACAAGTACTTGCGATCGACAAGTTCTTTGCCGATCGTTTAGCTGCGGGCCATGTGAGGGAATCAACTTCCCCACATAGCTCTCCGACCTTCTGTGTGCGAAAAGCAACAGGAGGGTGGCGGATAGTGCACGCGTTCAACAAATTGAACGCTGCAACGGTACCGGCTCAGACGCCGATACCGAGGAAGGACGTAATCATTGATGGTATGTCAAAGAGTACCATCTTTTCGTCCATGGATTTGATGGATGGCTTCTATCAAATCCTTATGCGAGAACGGGATATACCCTATACCGCAGTTAGCACGCCTAGCGGCATGCTCTGGGAATGGCTAGTAATGCCACAAGTGCTTAGTAATGCCCCTGCCACGTTCAACAGATGTGTATCACATCTGTTGAGACCAGTACGAGAATTCGCGCCGAGTTATTTCGATGACGTATTCATCCATAGTCGAGCTATGGATGGAAAGTCGGACGTTGAGGTTCACAGGTACCACGTCCGACAAGTTCTTACAATCATGCGAAAGCATCAATTGTATGCTAACCTCAAGAAGTGTATATTTGCAGCAAGCGAAATACCACTTCTTGGGTGCATCGTTGGTAAGAACGGTGTACGTCCTGATCCCGAAAAGATCAAGGCGATCACCGACTGGCCTGTGCCGGTCGATGTCAAAGGTCTTCGAAAATTCCTTGGGCTAGCGGCGTATTTGCATAAGTATTCACGCAATTACGCCGAGATGACTGTGCACCTCTCTCGTTTGTTGAAAAAGAACGAGAGGTGGTTATGGAACGCTGAATGTCAACGCTCCTTTGAGGGTATCAAGCAGAGCTTGATACAATCCCCAGTCCTAGCAATTGCCGATCAGGACAGGCCATTTCATGTGGTCTGTGATGCCAGCGATTTCGCAATCGGCTGTGCATTAATGCAGTACGATCTTGAAAGCGTTGAACGCGTCGTCTGCTATCAGTCGCGTCAGC